TCTTACATTTGACCCTCAAATTCACGTACCACGTTGTACCAGGGGGTGGCAGTATATTGACTATACTGTATAATTGGTAGCTCATTGCCTGAAAGTGTTACAGGTCACTTCAGTAATAGATAATTAATTGTAAGGATTTGTAGTGGTGTGTCTGAGGCAGTGTGTCCAACCTCTTTTCAAGACCTGGTTTAAGCTAGCCTAGGTTGAGTGGGCCTTTCACATGCTTCATTGACTGATAGTGGCTGAGATTTTTCCTTCTAAATTTCTTCTCTCTCTCGTAGCTCGTTGGACTCCAAGACTGACCCCTCTGGCACAAGCACAGTCACCAGCACTGTTACGAACACCAGGTACCGAAATTCTCATATTTGGTGGTTTCAGTGATAGTAATACCTGAATTAAATGTGTCATGAACTCTTTCTCTCAGCTTCTCAGACACCAAGACATAAGTACCTGAGATCTGAGCTTTGTTATTTTCAATGATAACAACAGTTGTATTTACTGTGGCACTATCTCTCTCAGCTCCTCAGACACCAAGACAAATCCTTTCAGCACAAACGTAGTCACCCCAGCTGTCACTAAGACCAGGTACAGACTTTCTGTTAAAGCCCCTCTCTGAATGCTTTCAGATTACGCTATGAAACTCTCTCAAAGCCATTAATTCCAAAAACTGTACTGCTGCTATGCTAAATAACCTGTCAGGACAAGACAGACACAGTCCCCACTACTGCTCTTAAGTACCTGAGATCTCCGCTGTGTTGTTTTCAATGATAGCGGTAAATGTATTTATTAACTGTGGCATGAACTATCTCTCTCACAGCTCCTCACAGAATGTCCTGTGAAACATTCATAGAGTTATGCTTTTAATATTTAAAACATTGTATTGTCACTCTTGTAAATAACCTGACAAGACAAGATAATCACAGACATCCCACTGTCACTAAGACCCGGTACCTGAGGTCTCAGCTATGGTGGTTTCTATGATAACAATAGCTGTATTTATTCATGTGATATGAACTACGGTATCTCTCTTTTAGCACTTCAGACACCAAGACTATCTACCTCAAGATAAACTAATAGATATTAGATAGGCATG